GTGAATTTTTATAATAATTTGCCAATAATAATTATACAAGCAATAAATCACAAAAAAGTCAATGGGCCACAATAGAAGGCAAGTTCTACTTTATACATTCATCCGTATATGCATAGATAAGACACTTAATCATTTAACTTTGAAAAACACTACAAACAGAAAAATCCTTCTAAAGAAGGGAGGGAAGCTTTGTCATTGATATCGTGTTGAAAACATCAGATAAAAGTGAGGACGTTGTTGTTCGGAAGCGAGAACAATATGTTCAAGAATGACTGAAACAAGTTGAAGATCAAAAGTCTTATATTCAATTTGATGAATATTTACTTTCTTCATTTCAAGAGTCTTAAGCAGATAACTGAAACCTTAATATAAGGGTGATATAATCGCTCAACATTCTAAGACTTTTATATGTTACCAAAGATGCACAAACCAAATAATCCGAACTGCACTATTGTATCCATCTAAGTTTGCCCCACTAAATTAATTTTGAGCTTTCAAGATGAAATTCTGTAGTCTATTTTTACTACCAATTTGTACAAAGGTAATCCATGTGTCCTTAATATCCCAAATAGTATCATAAGACCACCAGGAGTCCCTCATATCGTCATCACGAATGTTCTGTTTCGTTGGTCTTTCCTCACAACGAAATGATGTTAGGCTTAAAACACTTCATAGTTAAATGTGAAATACGGCATCCAATAACAGATACACTCTTTAATTTTGGCTGGCCCTAGCCAGAGGTTAAGGGCTTTTGTGCTTAATGATTTTTAATGTCTACAGGGCGAGGGGTGGATAAAGAAAACAAAATAGGCCTTCATTAATCTAGTATCTTTGTTGATTATATATAAGAGCAGATGTTTAAGGTTTTTCGGGTAGTCCAACCCTACTCTGTACCTTAGATCTTATCTTTACACTGAGCACAATCCTATCCAATTTCTACAGATTTCCACTCACAATTAAAACTATACGTGTATCTTTCCAGTACTAGTGTTTCATTCCTAGACATCACTATAAAAATGTCAGTCTACTTTAGATCCTTAAGTTATGCTACTTTACCTCTGAACATCTTATTCAATTTGGAATGAGATCCAAGTGTTAGTTTAATTAATGTTTATATATTGAAATGATATAATGTGTGTGTGTGTGTGTATAATATGGTATTCCAAGATATATAAACAATTATCTTAGGAATATAATATCCCTTAAAACGGGATGTTTAAAAGGATTTACTAGGTGTAAATGTTATTGTATGACTTAAAATAATGAGAAGCAAACACAAATTTACAGTTAATAAACATGTCTTTATTAATAATTTAGACAAGTGCTTGTAGTAAACAGAAAACTGACTTCATAAAAACTGATAGATACGTTAATTAAAAATCAAAAGATAAATAAGGATAAATGCACTCTGAAATTAAAAAAAAAACGTAAATAAACTGCTTACAGAGGCCGATCTTGTTTCATCAAAAGTTAGATTGGATATCCCAGAACAAACAAAAGACTAGCCTGGTTGAGAATCTCACTTCAAGTAAATAGCTAATGACA